GAGACTGGGATCTATGAGGAGAAATGTGGCATCAGAATTGGAGTAAGACTCATCAACAATCTGAGTTACGCAGATAACACAACCCTGCTTACTGAAACTGAGGAGGACCTGAAGTGCTTGCTGCAGAAGATCAAGGACTGCAGTCTTCAATATGGGTTGAAGCTCAATATCAAGAAAACAAAGATTCTCACCCCTGAGATGATTGACAGCATTGTGATGGATGGTGAAGAGGTTGAGATCGTTAACAGCTTTAGTTTGCTTGGCTCCACAATCAACACTCTTGGCACCAGCAGCCAGGAAAATAAAAGACCTATTGCATCAGAGACCTTGCCAAAGTACTGAAGAGCAACGATGTCAATCTGGAAACTAAGGTGTGCTTGATACAGTCCATAGCTTTTGCAATCACTTGCTATGCATCAGAGAGCTGGACAATGACCAGAGTTATAGAAGAATTGATGCCTTTGAGTTCTGGTGTTGGAGCAGAGTATTGAATACACCATGGACCATAGAGAACGAACAGGTTCATCCTGGAGAGGGTTAAACCAGGCTGCTTCTTGGAGGCAGGGATTCTGAAGCTTCATCTGACATACTTTAGACATGTTACAATGAGGGACTGGTCCTTGGAGAAGGACGTCATGCTTGGGAGGGTAGAGGGACAGCTCAGGAGAGGAAGACCCTCTATGAGGTGGATTGATTCAATGACTGGGGTAAAGGGGTAGGTAATTTGTAGACAGTGAGATTGGCACAGGATAAAGCAGGGTTTAGGATTGTTGTGCACAGAGTCACTATCAATCGCAGGTAGCTCAACTGCTTGTAACAACAACAACATGTGTATACACAGGGAGAAAGAAAAACAAGTAGAACACTTAGCTATGGAAGAATCTGTGTAGAATAATTAAAGACAATCACCTTCAGAGTCCTTTTTTGCACTTTAATATTCTTAAAACTTGTTTTTAGGTTTGAAATTTTTAAAATCATTCTCACAGATCTCACTCTGTCATTACCATGAAGACAGAACTGACTCTTGAGAGCTGACCCTGCACTGGATTTTCAGAGGTTGTAAATTGCATTGTAAAGATTGTCCATCTTTCTCCCTCTGAGTAGCTGGTGGATTTGAACTACGTGCCTTTGTGTTAGAAATGCCACTTTTAACCCACTAGGCAACCAGAGCTACTATTAAAATGAATCTTGATTCTTACATCATATGAACATACATTCCAGATGTGATTTGGGTGTAAATGAATTATAGATCTAAGCATGAAATAAACACAAAACAGTAAAGCTTCTAGAAGAAGACAGGGTAACATCTTCGTGGTCTTGGAACTCACATGTGTTTTTCAGATAGGACAGAATTTACTGACAACAATTTGGGCTATGTTAGAAGTAAACCCTTTTATTCGTCAAAAAGTACCATTAGGAGATAAAAAGACAAATCACAGATGGGGAAAATGTGTACAATTTGTGAAAGTACTTGTATCCACACTGCATACAGCATACTTATATACTTATGGATTAGTTACAAAAGAGAAAACCCAAGAGTAAGTGAGCAGAAGTCTTGAGTAGGCATTTCTCTCTCTCTCTCTCTCTCTCTCTCTCTCTCTCTCTCTCTCTCACACACACACACACACACACACACACACACACACACATGTCAACAAAAGAATGGAAACATGCTCAACTTAGTTGTTCATCAAGAAAATAGCAATTAAATCCCAGAGAAAATCCACTCCTCATTCAAGGGAGGAACTAACACTTTAGAAATAAATTATATCACCTGGTAGTGAGGCTGAAGTGCCGTGAAAACACTCATGTGTTGTTGATGATGTTAATTGCTACCAAGACTCTGGGACTGGAAGCATCTGTGAATAGTTAAGCGTAGGTATATTCTAGAAACAAATGAATCCATTCTTAGCTACATGTAAAAAATATTTATGCATTTATTCATCAAGGACCTGGAAAAGAATGGCCAAAGTAGCAACATTCATAACATCTCCAAACTGGAAATAATGCAAGTAGCCATTCCTAGCAGAATGGAAAAAGCACAACCAAATATTATTCAGCAACAAAAATGAACAAAAGCTGCTGCACAAACTTTATAAGATCTCCACCCTGAAACCCACAGCGTCCCTTTTCAGCAGGAAATAGCTAAGAGAATACGCCATCCCCTTTTCCTTATGAATCAGGGTGAAGTCTCTCTCAGGGAGGAGTGATAGGGAATGTCAAAGGACACACTGAGAAAGGAGATTAATCAGAACTGGCTTTGACAAGCACTGTGGCAATGGGACAATTAATACAGACTTTCAAGGGGAGAAAAAAAGAGGAACTAACTGGGGGGTACAGAAAATAGTGCAAAAATGAATGAATGAAAATCCAAAATCTCTGTAAATGTTCATTAAAATTAATAAAATAAAATAAAAAAAAGAAATGTTACAAATTTACTATTGAGTAAAAGCAGCCCAACAGAACACACACTGTATCTGTCTATATATGTAAATTTCAACAACAGATAAGGTCAATGGCCTAGTGGCAAGAAACTGCACTGTAATCCCTGAGGCATGCAGTTCGAGTCTGAGGCATGCAGTTCGAGTCTGAGGCATGCAGTTCGAGTCCACCAGCTGCTCCATGGGAGGAGGATGGACAATCTCCTTTTGTGTGATTAACTGCCTCTGAAAACCTGTCAGAGGGTCAACTATAGGTTGGTTCTGACTTGATGGCACACAACAGCAACAACATGGTAATAGAAGTTAGAGAAACAATGGCTTTAAGTGGAGGACTTCTGAGATGCTGTTTCTGTCTGTGTTCAAGTTAGATAGTGTGTTCATTTGGTGAGAATGCCTTGAACAGTATATTTGTGATTTGTGACTATTTCCCTGTGAATGTTTTCCTTCAGGTAAAAAAACAACAAGAAAAACAAATGATGGATTAAAAACCAGAAGAATTGTGTTTTCAGCACTGGGCCTGACTGACTAATGTTGACCATACAAACAGTTAACTCTGCATAATCCAGAGGCAGGGTGGCGAGTGGATGGGGGGAGGAGGACGAACAAAAGAGGAAAGGAAAGTGAAGTCAAGTCATCTGGCAGAAGAAATATTTACAAATTGATAAACAGCAAAATGGGTGTAAATTGTACTTGAAAAGCACCAAAAACTTGTACCCAAGGCAAGAAGCTTCCCTCGCCACCACCTCATTTTCATCTATTTGCCTGCAGCCTAGAATACCCTTTGAGTCAGAAGGTCCCATTTAACTTTGTATCTCCTCTTTCCCTCCCCAGTATTCACACAGCAACGGATTGGTGCATAGTCTTTGGATACTGCAACCAAGTAGTCACCAGTGACAGAGAGGCAAAGAAGAATACAGATTCAATGTTAATTGAATAAAACCCAAAGCCACTTGAAACTGGTGTGACGGAAAGTCACATTGCAAGGTTTCAGTTTTACCTTACTTAAAAACAGACATTTCCAGCAGTAGTAGAGGGTCAGTTCTAGAGGTTTTGTGATACTCTGCCCTTCTCCTGTGACATGAATAGCATGGGAAATCCCAGAAGAGGCAGCAGAAAGGCTGAGATCCTCTTCCTGCCTCTCTCCCTTCTCTTCTGATAAGCGGGAGCCCTTTGCAAAAACTAGTTGGTCCCTTTGGCCCTGATATCCTCACTGGGAAGCTGAGCCAGTCCAGCACAGTCATGGGATTTCCAGCAGTGTTGGCTTTGCCTGGGGTATCCCATGTCCCAGGCTTCAGAAGAACAGCACGGGCTTTGCACTTATCAGAGGTCTGAGAGTTGAATGGGTAGGTTCGAGAAGGAAACACATGAACTAGCCTGCAGGAACCCAGACTGCAACGTCAACAGTAATATTGGTTTATTCGAGGGTATAGCTGTGAAAGGCACTGAGTGTAAATTGTTCTGATGCTGAGAGCTTGGGTCTCCTGTTTAAAGTCTCTTATTAATCTGCCTGCACGTCTGGGCAGAATTGTCATACTAACTTGACTGATGACCTCACTTTCCCTGAGTGGTGTCCTCGTGGCCTGCTCTCATCTTAGTTCTGTCCTAATAGCAGGCTAAAGAGGTTCATTTTTGCTGTTTGGCCTTATTCCAGTCCTGGCTTTGATTTTTGCTCACCTTTGGCAGGTGATCATCTTCCTCTCCCTTACGACCATCCTGACTAAGACGCCCAGAAGCTTCCTCTGTTGTTCCCCATGTCCTGATGCCCCTCACAAAGGGCCACACCTGGATCTAAATCTTCTTTTAGCTTCAAGCTAGTGAAACAGTAAATCAACATGACTGATGATGATTCATTTTCCCACAGCCCTTGTCACAGACAGGGTGGATGTTTAGCTGGGCCATGGCCGTGGGAAAACAGTCGAAGTGTTCCAGAAGACAGCAAGAAATGGAGGCCTCATTACCTCTGTCAAGAACTCCACCCAGGTTGATAAAGACTGGTAAGGTCCAAAACAGAGGTGCAATTTGGCTTGTTTCTCAGATTTCACTCCTGGGGGTTAGTAAAACAGACGGAGGGCTGTCCAACTCAAGAAGAAAGCCAGGCTCAGTGAGGGTGACCTTAGAAATGCTCTAAAATCTGGCACATGTGTTTCTTTACTAGTTCCCCCTGTGCACACCAGAAAACCAGACAGAGGATTGTTTTAGGTAAGGCCTGTGTGCTGGGCCTACCAAGCTACTCATCCAACCACAAGGCAGGATTCATCTTTATCAATCAACCCTTTGAATGGAGTCCCTGTTGGTCTCATCATCCTACAAAAGATTACTTAGGGGAATTATTGAGGAAGACAAAAGCTCTTTTTTCCTTCATTACCAAGATTCTCTCAGATCATCATCTGGCTGAGCTCTTGGGCTCATTTCTCACCATAAATAAAAACCTCTACCCATCTCGTTTCTCTTTTTGAAGAAGCCAGCTACTGGAATGCCAAGGCTCAGTTAAGACTGCATGCTGAATCTCAAAATTGGCAGACAGTTTAATCTGAATAAAGACAAAGAGCTTGGACTCACCTCAGTGCACATCTGATCCGAGGAGGTGATAACTTTACAGCCAGCAGAAATCAGCACTGCCAAGAGCATGCAGCTGATGGTGGGAGCCATTACGGGGCCAACAACAGCCCAGCTTGGTGGGCTTGTCGAATGCTTGGAGCTGAGCGACTGAATCCAGCTTTGACGGGCTCAGCAATCTGACCTCCAGAGAGGGCTCAGAAGGGTGATTTCAGAACAAGAAATGCTGTGAATTGTTAAGCATTCAGAGGCTCCATGCTACAAAAAAAGAAAAAGGGGAAGTCCCTTTTACATATTACCCATCCTTAACAAAAATAACTGAAGACCCAGCCCGAGAATGAGCCAGTGCATTTCCTGACAAACAGGAATTGGTTGGGCAGTCTTCTTAAGCTGATCACATGCCGTCTCCGCGGGAGGGTGCCTATGGACTTAGGTCAGCTTCTGTGGTCTGGTCAATTCCAACAGCCTCTGGTCCCTTTCCGTGAGACAGAATGTGGAGGCAGGAAGCTGTACCAACTCTGGTAGTTGTGCCAGGTGAACAGCTAAGACAGGTGCAGGACATTCAGGGAGGGAAAAGCTCTCAGTGGGGACAGATGGGGTTATAGAGCTCAGCAGTGACAACTTCCGGAGGTGGGAGCTGAAGCAAGAGGACACAGGGACAGCCTTTCCCTTGAAGTAGATCTGTCTTGCTACTTGGCCATGTTGCCAGCTTCCACGTCTTGCCTTAGTACAACCATCATTGTTAGATACCATTGAGTTAAATACGACTCATGGTGACCTTATGAAAACAGATCTGAACCTTGTCCTATCCTGGGACATAGCCATTTCTAGCAAGTTAATTAAAACTCACAGTGACAGAGTTCTCACTCAAGCACAGAGGAGAACTGCTCTGCAGTGTCCCCAAGCTGTAATCATTATAAAAGCAGGTTACCACATCCTTCTCCTGTGGAGGTTGGCTGGTGGGTTCGAATTTCTGACCTTTTGGTAAGCAATCAAGCACTGCTTCACCTGGGTGTACAAGAGGAGAGTAAATTCATCCCTTGCCTAGGTGATTCAGGCCTACTAAATCCTCTCAATCAGTTACCGATTAATTGGTCAGGGTAACTGGAGGACACTTACATAAAGGGTAGCCTGGCTGAGGGAGCAGAGCTCAGGATGCCAGCTCTGTTTTATTTATTTAGAGACAGGGATTTGAGATAGATTGCAGTCCCTCTTAGGAAGATAAGTCAGTACTGAATGAAAGTCTGTGTCAAAGTTGAAGCGTTCATCAATGAGTTGCATTTAGCTACCTAAGACATAATACCTCGTGGTTGCTGTCAGGCTAAACACTGTGACACTGACGTGTCAAATGCCATAATGGTTACCCATGGTGGACAGTGTTGGTGGAGTTCCCCGATTAAAACAAGCTTGGAAGCAGGAGTGGCATCCACTGCCGAAATAGCTTGCCTCCAGAAACTCTATGAACTTGGAGAAATGATGAAAGTTATACAAGTGTTCAGATCTTTCGCTGCTAGGGTCACTATGAGTCGTCTATGACTCGATGGCACTTAGCAACAAGAACAAGACAAAATCTATTATCAACTCTAGCATTTATAAGAGATTTTGGTATCACTATTCTCCTATTCCACTGCCAAGAGCTCATTTCATATTATCGGAGTTCATAATCATTTGAGATACTGCTACAACTACTACCACTACCACAACTAGATTATTAACATGAATCATTACAGCAGGAGCTCTGGTGGCCTAATGGTAAGGAGTTGTGCTGCCAACCCAAAAGCATGCTGTCCAAATCCACAAACCTGGAGAAAAAGAAGGAATCTCCTCTTGTGCAACGTAGATCACTGCAGGGTCAGATATGGATTGGTTCCAGCTCAATGAGCAGTAGAGTTAGAATTGACTAATAACTAACCTTCTAGTGGGTTTTCAGAGGCTGTAAATCACACAGGAAGAGACTGCTCGTCTTTCTCTGATGAAACATCCGGTGTATTAGAACTGTGTGTCTTTGGGTTGACAGAACAACTCTCTACCACCAGAGCAAGGAATTAGGAGTAATTGAATAGAATAAGACTTATAAACAACAGATCTGAACTCTTCTATTCTATCCTGTGCCAACCTCATAATCTCTGACATACCAAGTCCAATGCTGTAGTCATTGTGTTAATGCTTGAAATTTTTCCTCTCCTTCACTATCTCTCCACCTTTCTAAGTATGACATCCTTCTCCAAGGAATAACCTCTCTGAGAAGCAACATGCCCAAAGTATGTAATATGAAGCCTTGTCATCCTTGCCTCCAAGGAGCACTCTGTCTGCACCTTCTCCAAGATGTTTGTGTTTTGTCTCTTGGTAGTTCATGGGATATTCAGTGTTCTTCTCCAGCACCAGAGCTCAAAGGTACCAATTTTTGTTCTGTTATCCTTATTTATTGTCCATCTCTCAGCAGCATAGCAGGTGAATGAGAAGACCATGATGTGAATCAGGTATACCTTAACCTTTGCTACTGTGTTATATTATTTTGCCTCCCTTCCACTGCAGATGTAGTAACTGATGCTTTTAAAACCCCAGAAAACCCTGCTATTCAATTGTTTCTGACTCATAATGACCCTCCATCAAGTTTCCAAGGCTATCAATCTTAAGAGAGTCTATCTTTTCCCCATGGAGGAATAGTAGATTTAAATTACTGACTTTTTAGTTAGTTGTAAAACATGTAAGTTACTATGCCACTCAGGTTCTTTAGAAATTGAATGACTGCTCTAAGATTACATACGTGGACAGTGGTGTATTAGGGAGGGCTTCTGACCTAGACAATTTCCCTGCAGAGCATGAGTGTAGTGCAGTCCAAATGGATTTCCTAGCCATCTCTTTAACTTAGGCACATGCCTGGAGGGGGCTTCACTAATGAGGTGAATGATGTGGAAGGTTTCTTTCAGCGGAACCATGCAAACAGAGTGTGTAGATTACCAATGAGGGGATTGGTCAGTTTTGCTATCCTGCCAGTATTCAGTGGCAAAAATGGGAACCTTGCTACTCCATAAGGAAATGGAAAGTGTTCAGTAAGAGTCCACTTTGAACCAGAAATACCTGTGCCAGCCACAGCAAAGAACATGAGGCTCATGTGAGACAGAGCTGACTTGGCCTCATGAAGCTAGAACTGGATACCTTTACCAAGACTGCTGGACACCTGGGTGGGGACAGAGGTTTAACTGGGATTAAGACAGCTTTGTATCTTGCTCCATCCTGCACTGGATTTTGTTAACTTTTTAAATAAATTCTCTAATTGTGAATGTAACCTCCGAGTTCTACATGGCCATTGCAATGGATTGGTTTTTAAAGGCGACTTACTTAATGGACCCAGCAGCAAAACAGTGAGAACCCTGGAAGGGATAGGTGGTGTTAAAATTGGTGAAAATATTTGCAGGGAGAATGAGAATGTATGTGACGTCACAGGAATCCGTTTTACGCTGTGAAGGTTGTGGATGGAGTATGTTCACACTCCATGAAGCTCCTACCACGCTGGCCACACTGCTTTTACACTAGACAATGGGAAATCTCCTCTCATGCTGTTTACAGCCTCTGAAAATCCTCTGGAGAATCAGCTATGAATTGGTTATTATTCAAAGGCAGATAACAACAAAAAATTAATCTCTGGTTTACAAAAGAATGTTGCTTCCTGTAGGTGCCAAATGGTGAACGGACTGAAGATTGCTTTTCATCTGGGGATTTTAGAACAGAAGCTAAAAAGCAAACAAATCTCAATTAAACTATGTCATTGATATCACATGTATTTAGGGAGCTTGAGAGCCATCCTTAAAATGCCATTCCATGAGCAAGCACTGCTGCAGATGTTTTTAGTAAAATACCGCCTAAGCGAACTCAGGCCAGTCCTTTGCTTTTAAAGAGGGCACTCATTGTGATATAATTGCAAGTGTTCTGGGCTGCACAGAAATGTTTTTAACTTCAGCTCCATTACCTAGCCATTGGGTGATCTAGGGTAAGTCACTCACCTTCTTTGGTCTCTTTCTCTCTCTCCATCTGAAAACCAGAAATTATAATTCCTATGTGCCTCTATCACAGGGTAATTATGAGGATCAAATGGGATTACATACATGAAAAAGCTTTCTTAACCTTATATCCTTAGACAAATATGAAGAATGTGAGGAAAAGACTCTACAGACCACCCAGTTCCAATGTCATGTAAATATCACTTTCAGGAAATTATCTCCTGCCCCAGAAACGAGGAAAAGGCATATTATTCTCCTTCTTAAAGAAAGGTTTGATGGCTCAGTTAAGGCCATACAATTTTGTCATTTTCTGAGGCCACACAATTTGCATATTATTTGCATGTGTTTGCATAATGAATTCAAAGGACTCACTGCAAGTATATAAGAGTAAAGGAAAATAAATGAATATGAGTGACCTTCTGCCACAGCATTCAAATAAAATATTCAGGGCATAATACCCTGAAATATGAAATAGATTAAAATTTAAACTATTACAAACAAATGGGAAGATAGGTTTTAGAGTTTGGAGGCAAGAATGGAACCTTATTTGGTCTTAGGTTGTGAAGAATCACATACTCTTAAAGGTCACACCGTCCAAATGATTATCATGCCTGATTTCTCTCTACCACACCCCTTACCATACCCCTCTCTGCAGATAAACTCATACACACTAAATTATCTTCCAGTCTATTTTGAAATGTCTCAAGTGATAGAAAACTTATTACCCATTCCCTCCATGTTTTGGCCAATTTAGACTGTTAAAAAAGGTTTTTTATTATATTGCACTGCTAAAATCTTTCCTTCAATATTCTGAAGTGATCCTTGTTTCCTTGGCAAACAAACAAGTTCAAGTCCTGTCCTACTTGTCAGTTCTTTAGATATTTAAATGCAGTTGTGTGTCCCCTGATGAGACCCCTTTCACTGGTTAAAAACCTCCAGCTCTTCCAAGTGTGCCACAAGTTCATGTTGTATATTCCTTAAAAGTAGCGGAATATTTTCCAAACTTTCTCAAAAGATTAGTTATGTGAATTCTAGTATTGGATTTGCCATTAAACTAGTTTCATGTCTGAAGTGGGAGGATGGTTCAGGATA